GCCCTGCCCCTGGAGGTGGTTTCGGCATCAAATGCCATCTGCAATACAATTTGGTTATACGGAACTGCCACTGATACCCAAAACATCAAACTTAAAAAAAAACAGTGTCCCGTTGATACTGCTGAAAGTTTACATGATATTGTTGCTACATTTGCGATCTATACAAGCAAACAGACCAGATTAATACTGGTCAAATTGGCCCTAAATTAGTTGGAATGAATTCGCTGAAGCATCCGCACATTAACAAAGTTCTCTCTAATAAAGTACAAAATTAAATGAAACACATTGTGCATATGAAGCCAATGTTTGGAGATACTAACTGGAATGTTTGCTATTTTTGTATTTTGAAGAAATGCTAAACATGTACATGTACTATCATGTGACATAGAAGCTTGTCGGTCTTATCTTAAAATAGCTGGAATTTATTTGTAATTCGTGAAACAATGCACACGCGTTTAAATACACATGGGTATAACTGTCTTAAAAACAACTTGTTGCAAAACTTTGTTGAATTCACAAGTTAGTTTTGGGTGAAAGCTATTTGCTATTAGGTGAAAGCTATCTCATCCTTCCACAATATTCACCCTGTCTTCTCCCTATTGCAACATATAGTTGTCATCTTAAATAACTTGGCCTTTACCACTCTTCCTGGTAACTGGTTCCAGGGATGAGGAAGATTGGTTACCCTCTATGCAAATAAATACTTCCTGGTGCCTCTCCCAATATTGTCCTTCTCAAAAATGAACCTATTCCACTGCCTTGGTACATCTATCCCACTACTTTGGTACGTCTTGTATCGTTCTGGGTATTCCCTGTCAAGCAAAATGTTAGACAATAGCTAATGTCTCACATAAAAAATAATGGGGCAGCAATGTACATAAAATAGCTCTTGTACATTCTGTGTACCTGACGTTTATAAGCTATTGGTCTGGGCTCAATCAATGTCTATTTAACTAAATCACTATGAGATGTGGTGAGGTGAATCATGCAAAGCAAGTGTACCAATGGTTTAACACTTAGATTGCATTAATTCATCTAAATTGAGACAGCACAGGAGAGACCACAAATATGCTCAACGGAGGTTATTTCCTCCATTCACATTCATTGATGTGAGCAAGTGTATTTCCCGTCCAAGAGTAACCAGAATGGACATATATATCAATCAGTTTTCCTGTTCTGAATGATAGAATGTGTGTTTATTCAATAAAGTTTTCATATGGCTTCCAATAGTTTCATCCAATTTAATCATGCAACAGATTTATACCAGCGAGTCGCTCTGCAGTCTTTTAAATTAATGCACAGATCTCTTGCAAACGCAGATTATTGTCTTTGTTGTGATGACTTAAGCGATTCATTTCAAAATTGAATTAGAATAGTTACATATCAACTGTTTTCCCTCAGGGAATCTTTTAGCTCTAATAAGGGACTTCAAGAGGAATAACTCTTCCCTTTCAACATTCTTCTTTTAGGAATATCTTCTATGACTTCTGCTCATATCTTAAGGGATTTTATCCTATACAATATCCGAGCACGTCCATGACTCGTTGCCTGTGGAAAACTCGGTGTGTTACTGCAAATATTAACGTGTGAATGGTAACCTATTGAATGATATTAATGTACCTGCAGCTGGAACAGCAGAGATGGCTGAATTTGTATTTGTGTGTTTGTGATAAATGTTCACGGGGGAAAGTAAGTGTTGTCCCCTGGAGCTGAACACTTTATGAGAAAATGAACTTTAAAGGGCAAACATGTCTGGAATAACCAAAGGCAAACGTGGAAGTCTAGGGCATGCAATGCCAAAGCCATAGTGGATATGGTGGCTCTCGCTGCAACAAGCACCGTGTTGCGTTTTTACTCCTATAAATGCTTGAAGTGTGAGTACCAAATACAAGAGTTACACGGAAGCTTTAGCTGGAACTATTGTAAATAGTGTAGTTTGATTGAGTCAAGTGATGCTTGATGCACTGAGTAGCAGACACTGAAATTAAAAAAAAATCTACAAAGTATTCTTTTTCAACCTGTGACACTCAAGAAATATCAGGACGAGCATTCATCGCCAGCATGGACCATAGGGACACAGTGATTTTATGTTGCTACCAAGGGGCATGCATGAATCATAAAATTCCAATAGGATGACTTTCCTGGAATTTGTGACTGGTCCAGATTCTGTCAATAATCTGTCAATTATTCGTATTTTAAAGAACTCTCTTGTTTATAACCGTTACTTGTTTCGAGGTCAAAACAATAAATATACACAAAACAGAGCGACTGTCAATGGGATAACATTAATATTGCTGAAAGCATGCCTTTGAAGGACTACTTTCACCTACGTTTCCACTGCAGGAGGCTATCACATCTCTTTATCAGGGGCACGTTGTCTGGAGTCGCAGCTCAATGTCGTGTCTATCTGTACATCGAGCGTACACTGTAAATAGCGAAATAACTCGGTTGAGCAATTTAAGAGGGAGAGCTGATTTGTTATAGGAACAGTCAGTAAGATTAAGCGACGTGACGGGAAAGCCCATAGGTGATATGTACCATTTATCCAGCGGCATATCAATTGTGCGTCAGCCATAAAGTAACATAAAATATTCATTTATGCAGTACTAAAGGCGAACTTTGACCCTTTAAGGCTATATAAGGATAAGACCTGCAATACTGACTTCATCTTCATGTGCTGATTGTGAAATGAAAATCGGATCGGGGAGGGGGGGAGATAAGCAGACATTTCCTTATCATTATTTTTTTTTAAAAAAAGCATTAATTGGAGCATCAATTGCAAGAAGGATTTCAGAAGATCAACCTGGATCAATTTCCATGAACTTTCAGTGAACCTAACTCACGGGGGAGGGGCGGTGGGTTGCCTACCATGGCTAACCCTTCCACAACCCCTTTCAGGCAGAGTCAATATTGAATGGTCCTTCCGCTCTGGGCAGAAGTAAAACTGAATATCAAACAAGTGCAAACTACTATTGTGACCTTTACAATGCAGCCACAGCTACGAACAGTTTTCGTATTGTGCTAATAAAACTTCCCTCGGCATCCCCCACGTCTTCAGAGACTTTTAGGGAGTAATCACAACTGGGATCAGAGGTATATGATAACATAAAAAGCCAACAATAGGCGCCTAACAGCGAGGGACACGACAAAAGACCTGCAAGTTTATAACACGCAATCGCACCAGGAGATGTCATCTCCTGGGGGGTAAAGCTTGCATCAGTTACTTACAAGGTTTCAAAATATATATATATAAAGCTTTTACACCCATCTCCTGACCGGTAGGTTGCGAGAGCCTTAAAGCAAAGTAAATGCAAACAGCANTTTTTTTTCAGATAACGCGGTGCAGTTCTCGGGGGTGGAATGCATTGGGCATCCGCTGAGAATCACCATCAAAGAATCGTAAATTCCATATCAAAGATCTCACAGCCGATTCCCAAGGAGGTCATTATAAATTTTACGACCTCAGCATTTCTTTGAAATACCGCTTCTCCCGAGACTGCTGTGTGTTATTTTAGTGGGACTGTCATTAACACGGAGCTGTTAGGACCAAATGGTCGAAACATCTGAGAGAAAATACTGACGCTTTCAGTTGTGCAACCCCCCCACCTCCCCACTCCCCCCCTCAGTGGTATTGCTTTAAAAAATCATTTCCGGCACAAAACTATTTGCTTTACACGTTTGATCTTTGCATATACCACCATTAATGCTGAACTCTTTTGGAGACTGATCTGCTTTTATTGCACACACACATTGAGGTGTAAATCTTGTTTGCCGAAACCGCAATAATTGGTCATTTTAGGCTCAGAACAGGACCCTGAAACGTCAACTTTTCCAACGAACCAAAGACTAAAGCTGATGAAAAGGGCTAAATACGATGAAACGTATTTCATTTTAAAACCTACAAGTTACACACCTTAGTGTATCTTTTCCAACACTATATGGTCAATTCAACAAACTCATTTAACCATCTATGTTTTACTGAGGACTCGGCCTGAATAAGAAACTGGTGAGGCAATTTGCAGCAATTTAGTATTACTTGTAGTGGTGGTCTGCATTATTTGCAAAAGGGGGTCAGAATAATTTGTAACAAAAGTTCAAATGGATGAGTAAACCACTCGTCTGGACTAAAGACCATGAGAGCCTTACATCAAATTAAAAGCCATGTACATTCAGCTTTAAATAAAGCAACCTGGTCTTGAGGACAGAATAATGTAGTGATTATCCATTGGTAGACATCATTACAGGAGATCTAATTGCAATATATTATTTTCTTAATTTTACATCTGACACAATAAAAGTTATTTTAAGTAGTTGGTTCATTTTCTTAAGAGTGATCAGTTTCCTTGGGAGTTACTTCCCTTCCTTATGACAGACAGTGAAAATGAACCCAATACCTAAAGCGATATGATAATAATGATCCTTGGATTTAATATAGCGCCTTTCACGTGATATGATGTGATATGATATGGGTAAAACCTGTTTAAAATCAAACCAATCCAATGCAGTAACACACACTTAAATGGAAATGTCTGTCTTGAACTGCTTAGTCGGCAGATGCATGTTTTTTCAAGTATTGATTGCTGAATAGAAAGTTGCTGAACAAAGCTGTTTGATCAAAATAGACTCATTAGAATTAATTAATAATGCAAAGATCCAATCCCTTTCCTTGGCTTCACGTCCTATTAAAAGTTACTGAGAATATAGTTGTGGATTAAAATGTCAAGTGTAAAGACTCCAGTGCATCACTTAAACATAATCTTTAAGAACCCTTTGATAAAGATGAAGTGATAATAATAAAACATCATAAACTGCAGAATCTCATTTCAATTTCATGGGTTTAGTTCAGACATCCCATCACATAGTTGGGTTGAATCTTTAGTCTGTTGGTCAGAAAATCACTTGCTGATTGATTTAAAGTGGTGTGAAAATAACAGTTTCGATTGGAAAGGAACAGTGCGGCTTTATTGCTTACACTGAAGCTGCATTAACATGCAATTGCGTTACTGATCAAAATAACAAAATGTGTTGTTTGTTTTATTCAAAATTTGTTGTTTTGTTCCCACTGTTGCACATAATCGTAAACATTTATAATTACTAAAGCTGACAAACTTTTCCTGGCTTTAAAATACACAGTTTTACTTCCAACTCAATTTCGTAATAGAGCAGATAAAACAATAACCTCGTCAGCCCTAATACACAGTGTAAACAGAGGTAGGATAATTACTTAGCATAGTTTACAAGTGAAAGATTGCAGCGTTAGATAGGCACAGTGTTACATAGCAGCAACCAGAATCTTTCAACCTGAGGCATAAATTGTGCAAAGTCCATTCATTCTTGGAGTCGAGTCGAACAAGATACCTTTCATTCATCGTTGTCATCAACACATAAATCAATAGAAAACAATCTGCTAAATACAAAGTAGCAATTCTAGCAATGCAGTAAATAGAAGTTGTTGCAGCCTTTAATTGGACCGTTTTTGTGTGGCTCTTTTACTTGCAAAGATCGACTTATTGTCTGTGCAAATTTGTTTCAAGAAAAAGTAGTCTTTTACCATCAGTTGGATGATAACATTTGGTTTTTGCTTTGCATCGAACGGTTAACATCGTTTGTGCATATAACATTCCAGGTAAAGGTAAATACATTGATCACGACCCTTGAGACCAATTCAGTAGTCACAGAAATTAAAAAATCTCACAAAATATATACAAATAGCAGCCTACTTCGCCTGCACATATATACCCAGGTAGAATCAATACCAAAATAGTCAAGTGTGCTAAAGTGATTGCAGTACTTTGGGGCCTGGAGATTGCATAAACGCATTTCGTGGCTTTGTTCTTTTGAATCTGGAATTGAAAGCTCACTTCCCCAAAGCTTTTGTTACAGTTTGATAAGGTCACAACACTGAGCTTGGAGTTGGTGTTGAGCTCTTTGCAGAGGGGGAAGGCAACGGCGAGGCGGTGTCCGACTTATCCGAACTCTCACCGGATGGCGAGTCCTGGCTACAGCTCAGAGAAGCCAGACTCGCCAGCACACCTTCCCTCTCCCTCTTCTTCTGTTTCATTCTCCGGTTCTGGAACCAAATCTTCACCTGCGTCTCGTTGAGTTGAAGGGCGTTTGCTATCTCCACACGCCGGGCTCGAGTTAAATACTTATTGAAGTGAAATTCCTTCTCCAATTCCGTGAGCTGTTTGGTGGTGAAATTAGTGCGGACTGTGCTGGGAGAGCTGGCAATCCCATATTCGGCTTGTTTCGCTACAAAAATAAGCAAAAAACATAATAAGTTACAGCAGTGTTATTTAGTGGGAACCCAGCACGTTTCACTCTTTACCTTCACTATGCTATTATCTTACGACCCAGAAATTGGGATATACCACACACGATTCAGTCCTGATCTTCACTTCCAAATGATAAGAGCACGACTTATATTGTATAAATCACAGTTGGATCAGGAAAGACACAGGGTCTAGCAATTACACAGTTCACCCTTTCACCCCACATCATCTCAACATAATGGCATTATGCTGATGAAAGGGTTAATGCACCCTCCACCCCCCCACAACCCAAACTTATTACCTGGAAACAGGCGTTCTCAGTAAACACAAGTTACAGTTATAATAATAATAATAATAAGTTCCGCTTTTATACACCTACAACTGCATTAACTTACTGGAGAAACGGTGTGAAATGAGCTGTAATAGGTGTCGGAGTGGACGAGACTGACCTGTCTTAGAATGATTTCGTTTCACTTTCATCCACTCGAAAGTATTCGCACTGGCGACTCGCTCTGTGGTGGGAGATTCCGGCCTCTGATGATAGCTGCCCTGAGACGGGGAGAGGCTCTGATAATAATGTCCTGTGTAAAAGTTCGGGGATTCCTTGCCACCCGTTTGGTATTGCCCCTGGTCACCAAGTGAGATGCTGTATTCGTGCTGCCGCTCAGTCAGCGGAAAAGATGCGCTTCCTGAGTAAACAGAGGTCGCGTATGGGACTGATCCCCCACTGTCATCCAATTCCTGATTAGCAGCGAAAGGAAAATCATAGCCCAAATTACTCAGAGATAAGAGGTTAACATCAACGGGTGCAGCGGGATCGTAGGAGAGTTCGAGACTAGAAGGCACCGGCTGATGAAGGTGATGATGATGATGGTGGTGATGATGGCTGGCAGATGGATCACCAATGGGTCCACTTGCGAAGCAACGACCCTCTCCGGAGCGCTGCTGGACAGACACCGGCGGGGAATTGCCGTGACAAAACTTTGGTGAAAAAGTCAAGATATCTGCATTGGAAACGTATTCGAGGTAAGAGTTCATTCTTCCACTGGGCGGATGGGCAGAGTGGGATGCCTGGCTCTGGGTGATGGCTGTCTGCCCCTCTGATCACCATAGCAGATCCTTTTACTCAAGAGGAAGTCAATATTCCTAATATAGTGTAGAGAGGGCACGTGGTGCCGCCGGTCCAATTATAGCTATCCTATCCAGTCCTACTGCATGGCGTCCGGAGGTCTTATACCAAACAACAGAGAGAGAGAGGACTCAACTCTCCAATTCACTCACCTTCCATTGCGATTATCGCCTCTAACCCCCACTCGGTGGCTCCCCCCCACACCTTCCTCAATCCGCAAACGATGTCTGCAAAGCAAACTGAAAGGTAGGGGTTTCCCTTTACAGCGCGCAGTTGACTCGGATCGCGGTGTAACAGAGCCTGGGGTCGTCTGTTGGTGATTACAGGAGGATGCACGTCTGTGTTTTGAGGTACTGGTTCTCTGATATCGAGGATCATTACACCCCGGTAAAAGCGTGACCTCTATGAGTGTTTCATTGGTCTGACTGGGCGACTGCATGAGATGAATGAATTATTATAGCCACAGTACAGCAGTAACGGATCCCACACCGTGTAGAAAGCAAGATCATTAATTGAACTGGTGTGGAAAGGTGAATGGCTGGCACTGTACTCAGTAGTTTCAGACATAACATAGCAGGCAAATCTTTTTTTTTAAAAAAAACACTCACGTTTCATTGTCTGCTTTATGATATTTTCTCGTCTAAAATCTGAAGCGATGTCTCTGCGTTAAAATAACTCTTAAACAACCTAATTGCTCTTCAACAAAAAAACAGAATATGAGGACTGTATTCTGCTGTCCGAACGTGCAAACAAATGACCCTTGATAAAGAAGCAGTCTCTGTTTGGTCTGTAATAGTGCTTAACTTTGAAGGATTGTGAGCAGGCAATACTCTAATAATAATCAGAAAATGTCAAACACTGATCGAGGATTATTTCTCTGTACAGTGCAGTACAGTGCGGTGCTGATTCTGGAGTTCTCCACATGCCGCGCTGCATTCGCAGCTCTTACTACGATGCGTGTTCCTGCAGTGATATGTGAGCAGATGTATCTGAATCCCGTTAACAGAGATGTGAGCATAGTATTTTAATTCCGGGAGGTCGAAAGACGATTTTATAAAAGTGCATTTAAGGACTGCACCGGCAATCCGTGACAGTCGTTTTGGCGGAATTCAGCAAAACATGAGTTTTAATACGATTCATTTATTTTAAGCTGTTTCAAAATATTGTTGTATCGTGGTGCGTTTCCGTGGTACTAGTTGAGTGGAAATCATTCACCTGGCAAAGCACTCATTAGCAAAGCTGTAACTCAATAATAGACTGTTGATTTGCAGCACGTTCAGCACTGGAGGAACAGACTCTTCTTGATCGCCAGGGGCGGTGTGCAGTCTAATTCATATCAGGAGCTCTTTAAGTACATTACCTCAGGCATTTGTTAACACGGACACCAAATAGAATTACTGTAGTCTGAAAAGAATTTCTTCAATTATATAAACGGGCGGTGGAATATGTAATGGGTTTGCAGCGAGTGGACGTAAGACGTGTATGTGTATAGGTCTATCCATGCGCCTGTCTCACTGCCAATCTGTCCACCCCATCTGTGATTTTAAACTGACTACCTACTGTATTTACCTCGGAGGAACTGGGTATGTAATAACGTTTCCTTTTTTTGCTTTCTTTGTTTGTGTGAAGGGCATCTCATAAAAGCATTTCCTATCTACAGTGTAGTCGACAAGTTTTATGTGATTCTTGGAGAAACTGCGCTATGTATAATTCAAAGGGAAGTGATTTGAAGGCCTTTGAAGGCATATAGTTGCCACGGGATTTGCAAATGACTAAATTCCTGCATATACAATTCAGCATATGCATCGCACCCTCTCAATCACTTCACACTCTGACTTCCACAACTTTTACCAAAAGGCCTTTGTAATTTTTTCCTTCTTTTTAGCTCATTTCAAAACATGCATGAATGTCAATGATGTAATAACTATCCCGACAATCATTTAAATTGCCTGTTGACTGTTTGGTAAATAATTGCTAATAAACAATTGGATTTTTCACAGTATGTTCTTCCAAAGTTAATATTCCATTGGTTGCAGTCATTCATAATATTATCATTCGCAACTTTAGAAGGCAACATTGTGTTATTTGTGGTTCTTGCATTTAAGTTCACCACTATGTGGACCAGTGATGACTACAACACATGTAGTATGTGATTGCCTGTTCAAATTTGTTGGAATCATTGTAGAAATATACGCCTGTATATTGACCTTAATAACTTAATAATTACAGAAACTTGTAGCGGTTATTTACACGCAAAATTGCAATATTTTTTCAAAAAACTGTCATGCTTACTGATAAGAAAAAATAGGCTACTTTCATCAGTGATAACTCTCTTTGTTTTAATTTATACATTTGCAAGGAAAAAGCTGAAACCGATTTGCATGCTGTGTCATCAACCTCATTTCTTTCATCTCAACATTGTATGTAAGGGAGTAAATTATATTGGAAAATCGACTTCTTTTGACCTGTCATGCATACTAAGTTAGTGTCCAGGTCAAAATAGACAGAAAGGGCATCAAAAGGCGTTATTTGAAGAAGCCTGGATACTTCTACGAATTCTTCCTTATTAAAGTCGCATTTCTGTGGATTTCGAGGAGGTTAAACAGTACCTGACCTTCAAATCCAGTTATGTCTATAGACAGTTCAGCTGTTCTTGTTTGAGAGCCCCCTCTTGAAAGTGACTGCAAATAGTTTTGAAAGTAAATGGTTTAATGTGGGTAGCGTGGGCTTAGAGTGCAATAAAACGCTAACAGATATGACGCTTTTCATTGCACAATACAACAGTGTACTTTGCGGGACATTTAAGGAGCAGACTGCCGACCTGCCTTTGTAGATGGCGTAGAGTCACTGCTGTTGCGTGTGGAACCATTCCCAACTCTAGAGCTGCGAAACTTCTTAAAGGACGTTGCACTTTCTCATATTCAAGTCAGTATAATCATACAGATTTATGTGATGGCAGGTTGCCAGGAGTCCAATTTGACGCGGTAGGGTTGCTCTGTCAGTACTCGGCCAACTAGCTTAGAGGCAAGTAATCGGCAGGGCTTTGCAGTCAGCACTCACCCATCGTGTGCTCGGGTCTTCTATCTGGGCCATATGTATTGCGTTAACCATATCCGTAAACAATTTTTCGCGCACGTTCCTGCTTACGTGCGTCCAAATGATGTAAGTAGGGAACTGGACGTTATATATTTTAGGTGCATTCCACCCAATCCAAATAACTGAATGGAGGGAATGGAGCCAAATACCAAACCCAAATAGCCAGCCAAGTGCTGGTCATAACTGCTTTGCATTTCACTAACTGCCAATAATTCCACAATTACTAGAACTAGCCATGTTTATAGAAAGATAACAGGATTTATATGATTAATGTTCTCAATTAAATGTCGTGTTTTACGAGCTGTTTCACCTTTGGAATAGGACCAGGCCAGAATATTGGTTTGTACAAACCAGAGTACAAACTCTGTACAAAATAAAGTACAGTGATGCACTTCCAATTGCATTTATCTTCCACTGACTGTAGTGGAATTTGGCAGAGACGAAATGGAAGGTTGAAATATGTCTATTTTTGTTCACCACATATTCCAATAAACGTGCAGATACTATTGGCACGTTTTTTTAAAAGTGAATGTAAATAACCCTAACACTTCAAAAAAAAACACACACACCAGTCAAACATAGCAACAATTTGCGCACAGCCAACTTTCTCGGCTGAGGCCATGATTATTTTGCTGCTGCCCTTGAAAAGTTTTACCCTCTCTAACGAGCGGTAACGAGGGATAGCAGTCAGTCCCAGATTCCTCGACGCTTGTTCCCACTGAACGTTTCGCCTGCGCTGTGATTAGACGGTTGTGTTATTCGTTTTCACATTTGTCCACTTTGGCAGCGGTTGCTGGAGGGATCCCAGCTGGCCTCGGCTTGCTTTAAAGAAGGAGGAACCGCTGTCGAGGGAAAAGTGCAGATTTCATGATTGATGAACTCTTAACAATGCCCCACTGACAGCTCTGCATCCAGCCAGGGCTCCCAGGTCTGTCAGCACCACCGCTTATTTGCTGGAGCGTTGTTACAAATCCCGAAATTAACCTTTCTCTTCACTTCCAATTGTANTTTTTTTACACGCACACACACGCACACACACACACACCACGTTTGCAAAACAAACCGAAACGGTGGCGGTAAATATAGTAGCCAGAAACCCGCATCAACTTGAAATACGATGACTGATTTTATTTTTTATTTTTTTCCTTTCTGTCACGTGACCGTTTTCAGTCTCTGCACAGGGAATCCTCCAGCACTGCTGTTTATTATCTGGATAAGCAATCGTAAAATCCGCCCTTTTGTTTCGAAGTGCATACATAATGCTCGGGGGGGGAAAAAAAGGCACCCTCGTCTGTGCATTAACAGTAAGTAAATCCTCGAATCGAAACGAAAAGCGGGCGAATTCATCAGTTTAGAATTATTCCCCTTCTGTGCCTATTTATGTCCCTATTTTAATGGAAAGGGACCAGAACACAACACAACACAACACAAACTGCTAAACAAAAGCATAAAGTATTACATGGCAGCGATTTTTTTTTAATTGTGAAGACTTGGGTGTGTTATGTCCTATATCTGAAGTATTTTGATTTTTTTTTAGCACAATAATTCACAGATAAGGAATTGGCTGCAGATAATTCGTAATTTATTCCGAATTTATCGCATACGGGGCATTAAGTGATTTATTATAAGAATTGAAAGGGTTTCATATGAAAGAAACGCACAAGCTGACCCAAACATTTGGTATAACAGCAATTCATAGACCGTTTGAACCTTGGGAGCATATTGTAGCAGAATTGCCACTGACATATGTTGGTTCGTCAAACAACTCCGCGCGTTTGGGGCAAAAAAACACATACCAAAAACAGGAATTTCAAAAAAATTAAATATTTATTAACTATTACAAATGTAGGAGATGGGAGAAGAAGCATATCCACGCGAGGTCCAGCCGCCAACAGAGAATGCTGACAGCAAACCGCGTGGGTGCGTTAATGATTTAAAATCCACTTTTGTTTTTAGCAAAGCACTATTCTGTCTTCACTGCTGCTGCTGCCAGGTTTAATCACACGTTTAAAAATACAAGAAACAGCGCATGATAAAGCACCGTTTGGTTTAGCTGGTGCATTTCTGTCTGTGGACCGTGATATATTTTATCTTCCATCTATATACCACATACCAGTATTGATACCAAACTCAAAAGATTTAAACTGATTGGGAACCCATGTGAGAAAGTAAGCCCAAGGGATTTTTTTCAATGTTTTAAAATAATAATGTCGCTTGGCCGTTTTGGATACTCTTATACAATAGTGTCTTACAAAAGGAGCCGATTACTTTGTTGTAGTTGGGTTTCTAGAATGGTTCGAATATTTCCAATGTTGTGATATCTCGTTATTTTTACAGGTAGCTAAATGTCCAGATATGTTTCACCAATGACAAAACTTGATTTCAAACCTATATTATTATTATTATTATTATTATTTCAGCGCCTCTGGCCTGTTGTTCGCGAACCAACACAGATCTGCACACAGATCAGTTCGCCACATTAATCTGCACCCTAGCAATTATTGTGAAGCTATTTTATTTTGAAAATGCCACATATGGCGACAGGCTAATGTCTAGCTCAGCTGCTCAATAAACTTAAAAAATGAAACATAATTTATAAATGATTCTTTTAAGGTTCATTGTAACATTGCACGTCCATGGAAGGCAGCTTCCCCTGGTTGTGAATTCCGGAATGTGTGGTCAATTATAAATCTTGCTTCACTCTCTCCCTGTAAATAGGGTCTCCCATGCAATTAATCTATTCACATGGTTTCTTACAAAATGGCGTTCTTGGTGGATTTTATCTGAGGTTAACATTGAGAGTGATCCATAACTCTGATTATTGTGAGTGAATTTCAACAGTGGTGATTTTAAGACCAACGTTTCGAATAGATTTAAATGAATTGCAATCTCGCTTTGATAAATCAACTGTGTAATCGGTATCCCTTTGTTCGCATTTTCATGAGTATCCTATTAAATATTTGAAATACATTTGATGGTTAACCTAGAAAAAAAGAGTTTGATGTGACTTTGAAGACTCCGGTTTAAATGTTTTACAAACGACTATTTTTTTTAAAAAAGGCTACGTTGGATCAATTAAAGCTCTAACAATGAAAGGCAGTACAGAAAGAGCAAAGAAGGTTTAGAAAATATTCGGAATTACGTTCCCACATCAAGATAGCTCTGGACTATTGTACAGGTTTGAAATATAAGCGATTCTTAATTTTGGTATCACGGAGGATATATTAAATACGTGTGTTCTGTTGTCTTGGCTATTGGCTAAAATTTTATTTTTATTTTCCAGGAATGAATGTTGCTAAATTGAGGATGTTTGGACGAAAACTATCTAAACATCTGAAGATTCCCAACCGAATCGAATGGACACGCTCAACTAAAATGCATTTTTTAAAATTAACTTTCGCCTTGCATATTTTTTTCATATTATTACTTGTAACACTAACTTTGTATCAAAATGTATTATAAGATGTGCCTCTTAGTTCTTTGAAAATCTGTACTTGTTCGACATTATTTAAAATAAAATAGTGAAAATACTTTTATTTCTTGCGTCACGTTAATTCGATGAAAGACCGTTCAGTTTCATTTGTGGCAAACCCAGTCCCTTTAAATGCATTCCCACATATACCAAAGTCTAAGGCTACGAGGAATGTAACAAGTGATACGACGTTTCCAACGTGTTCATACAATTGTTGAAAATAACACATATTACGGTCGTGAAAGGGAGAGAGAGAGAGAGAGAGAGAGAGAATCCGACTTTAAAACTGTAGCTGCTGGAAATCTGTCGAGCCAAAATTGTCACTTAAAAAGTCAAACGCATTGGATGGTACAACCAGCGAATCCTCGTTTCCCAGCAAAGATATTTGAGGTAATTCCTCTATCAAATCTAGACGGGGTTCAATTGTAATTGTTTCTAAATCCTCCAGAGATGGGATGCTGAAGCTCTCCGGGCTGCTCGGGCTGGTTCCAGCAGAGCAGTTCTTCAGCATGGTCAGCGAGTAGTCTGTTCCATCTGAGGTTTGGGGGAAATATTGGCTCTGGTTCCCCTCGATGTACAATAAAGAAGTATCGATAACACTGAGCAGATCACTGCTGATTTCACTCAATATGTCTTTCTGATGAGAGTCACCAATCTCTTGCCCAGCAAAGTTTTCGGTCTCTAACGAATTCAAAGTTTTATTTACAGGTGTCTCGACAGAGCTCTTTGTGGGAAATCCACTTTGATTCACATGGGGGTTAAAATGACGCTTGGAGTCGCAGTTTTGACTCTGCTTGAATCGAGACTGTCTCTTGTGTTTCATGCGCCTGTTCTGAAACCAGACCTTGACTTGTCTTTCTGTTAAATCGAGTAGTGCTGCGATTTCTACCCTCCGAGGTCTACAGAGGTATCTATTGTAATGGAACTCCTTTTCCAGCTCCAGCAGCTGTGTGTTAGTGTAAGTGGTTCGCAGTCTCCTTGAGCTGTCGAAGGGACCGCCATTGTCTGTTTCATTCAGCTCTTCGTTTTCTGTATCGAAGGGGGGGGGGGGGGGGGAAGGGAAAAAAAAGTTTTGATAAGTTACATCGAATTTTCCTAATAAGCCAAGAGTGTAAAATGGCCGCCACTGAAACACAAAAGACTTTAAGCAAACACTGGCCCAAGCAAAGCAACAGAAAGGTGATGCAGATTATTATGTGTGATATTGTTGCATTTGAAGGAGTTTAGATCTTCAAAATGCAGCAAAGGTGTGCTTCAGATTCCGAGCATCTCTTATCTAGTCATTATTTATTGTGAGTGCAACGTTGAGCAGCGATGGTTTTACAGGTACCTCCTCACCTTCCTGTTAATTAAGAGTCGTTGCACAATTTTTCTAAGGTTGTTTTAATGTCCCCGACACCCTGCACACCGCCGATGACGATAAGAAATACTATAGGAAAATGATTTTGACCTGACCTTCATTGGAAGAGCAAGATGAGAATGATCCCGTCGCTGGTGCTGGTTTTTTCTTATGGTTTTTCTTTTCTCTCATCCACGGATATTCCAGAGGTTTTTCCCCTAACGTGGCCCGGCCAGTGCCTTTTGAAGTGTGGGTTCTCCCATTTTGGTGTGTGTTACCATGGTCCAGGCTGCAGAAGCTTTGCTCAAAAGGAGGAGGAATCAGTGTCGAATGTGAAAGCGTCGAGTTCTTGATTGATGAACTTTGAAATGTCTCGCCAACAGGAGGAAAGGATGTCAGGCACTCTGCAAGCGATGGCTCACTATTGATAAAACCAACCTCTCGCTCAAAATCGTTGTTCATTTCTGCCCGGGCAGAAGCGTTAGAAAATTGCCCCTTTGGACAGTTTCTTCGAAAATGTATATTTATAAAATGTACTGATTGCAAACGCTTTAGGGACCGTGGCTATTATTAAACTATGTCTATTGAATACACAGACACGATGTTGAGATGAGGCTGATTTTTATCGTCACATGATCACCTAAACCAATGACGAGAGTGGGAATAAGACTGGCTTTCCGAATGATTCGGAAATAAAATGTGGAAAGGTGCATGCGGTGTTTCCATCTTTCCTGCAGATCGCCTCCATAACGCCGGCTGGGGGACGAGCAAGCGGTTGGAAGCGCTTACAGAGTAGAAAATGCACGATTGCAAAACATTGGGGAGTGTTTCCTAACGCAGACCGCTGCCCAGAAACAACACGTCGCTCAGTGTAATTAAACCGCAACTCAATTAATCCTCGGGAGTCAGTGGCAATGAGCTCAAGCCTTGTCCGTGCAGAAGGATGAGCACAAGCTGTGGGGAAAGCTCACGCCCTGGCCTGTGGAGCAGGCAGTCAGACCCACTGCCAAATTGGAGAGCGTCACCCACACCGAATTCCTCATTTTTGCCATGTAAATATTTAGGATGTTTTCAAGATGTCCAGTTTTTTTTTTTGTCTTCCCTTTTTATTGACTATTCCTCGTTTGAATGAATACCGTCTCACGCATTCCATCTGGAGCAGAGCTCTCTGCTTAAAATGCCTCGCTATTCATATATACTGTAGTATTTTCCGATTTTATCAACACCCAAGAGCCACTTATTTACATCCTCTTAAAAGCCTTTTAACATCTCACCGATTCTCTTCGAAAACAGCTGTTGTATTTCATGAACTTTCAACATTTAACAGCAACGCGTGTTATGTTAATTGAAACACAAAGCCCACAGGCTGCGGATTCTGTACTGTATTATTGGCGAATTACGTATCAAAATATTTGATACCCTTGCGTCACTTTTATCGCAAACACAGAAAAAGGAACTTTAAAAATACAAAAAAAAAGCAATTGAATGGAGCGTTGGATTTTCTGTGTGTGTGTGTGTGTGTGTGTATGTGTTGCTCAGCTAAACTCGATTTGGTGGGCATGCACCCAAGGAGCTGTATTTTTTTTGAATGCGTGTGTGGGTGTTCTTGTTCTCTAGCTTTCACTTTGCCTGCAAAGACAACAATTTGCGTTCTTTAATACGTGGGTGGTATGCTCACAAAACAAGAACCTCTGGATCTCTTTCAAGCACTGGTGTCAATTAACCAGGACGTAAACTTATGAGCTGCGTTTAGCTGTACACTCTGGGATCCAAAGTACACGCACATTGATGCACTGCAATGCAAAATGTCAGAAAGGTTGGAATAAATAAAATGCAAAAGGAGGGAGAAGGAGACAATCGTTGTACAACCCTCCAGTGCGTTCTCGGGAACTTTCTGCATAATGGGGAATCAGAATGGGCATTAAACTGTGTTATCATGTCACAATAATAATGCTATATCATACCATCTGGGTATTTGGGATTAGTTCTAACCCTTCAACGCAAAGCATGTGGATTGTTAGGTGCAGCTCTTGGTCAAAACGTCGCCGTTTTGAAGTGAACGTGTCTTTTGAGATTTTAAAACCAATCTCTGCCTTTTTGGAGAGGAGGAGACAACAAATGTCCCGTTGGCAGAGCTGGTGCTGCTCTGCTCATTTGTTTTGTCAACCAAAATGGCGTTGCGTGGGACGAGTTTGCGAATTGCTGCTGTGAAGATTATTGTGGCTTATTTCTTGACCCCCAAAATTCATCATCTTCTTGTCTGCAGCACCTGGTTTTATTCCACCGCATTTAGTCTCCCCTCCGCCTCGCAGTCAACACATCGTGCGTAATATAACGGTAATGGACACCGAGGTCTGCTGTTGGATTTATTTCTACGGGTGCAGATAATAGCTGTGGACTTGTTTGCTCAGGTTATATCTTGATTTATGCCTTGTGCATGTTGTAAAAGTACAACTACGCTAAACCCCTTCCTCCCCCGCCCACCCCCCACCCCCCCACTCTTGAACATATTGTAATAGAACAGTTACATGTACCAATGTGAGTGTAAATACTTCAGTATTCTGGGAAAGTCAAATATGATGGAAGGCAACTGTAATCAATGTACACATTGTTGGATTTTATCCCTTTCTCATTTATTTATCTTTTCCTGCTTTCCTGTGTCTCTTCCCGTCATCTCCTCAATCCTTTGTCTTTGTCTCCCGTTTATTCTGCGAGTCTGTCAGCCTCTTAACTCTTTATAGTCCAGATTCGTATAGCATTGCTTTAGCTCAGAACGAGCCTTCATCGGGATGATTGTGTGTTTTTTTTTTGCATTTTGAGAGAATAATTTTTTTAATGCTGCACATGCATTTCAGGCGGGCTCTCAGCTTTGCTGAATGGCTCCACATCCCAACAGTCGGCCTGTATTGTGTTAATGACAAGTAAGGAGACAAGATGGCGAAGCACACAGCTCGTGTATTATTAGTAAATAAAGGCTACAGGTTTGTTCAAAGAACAGATTTTTATTCTAAATATCTTTCGAAATAGAACCAGACAATTGAAATAAAGTATTCTTATAGAAATGTGTATAGTCTATTGTGTAGTGTCACATTTTCTTTGATTAACTACAATCATAACTTACAAGTTTGCTTTCAGAAATAACCCTTACATAAACTACAAACATCAGCCACTGATACAATTGCTCAAGAAACTATCCTCTCATCTAGTTTAAACCCAGGTTTACTAAAGAGGAGAAATATGATTGTAACAGACATGGATCAAACAGGTCAAAGTCAGGTTGTATAAGATCTATAAATTTCCACATAAATACATTAAGACGAGGATAAATAAGTGATAGAAAAATCTTTTTTGTTTCGAGTTAAAATAATAAATACATATCATTGACGTTCAATGCAGTTCGTTCTTACTGAAAAGTACAGAGCTCGGGCTATTGGGTAATAAAACCAGTTTACAGGCAGAATCTCACCAAAGTGGAATGTGTGGAATCACAGTCTTTCAAATCCATCTTAAGAAGAAGCGCTTGCAGCCCACTGACATCATTATGTCTTACCTTCTTAATCACCGGTTTCAAGTAATTGTTCCTCTATTTGTTTTCTGCATTTGCACTAGGACCATACCGAAAGTGGGGGGGGGGAACACAACAGCTGGCATAAGGACCCTTAAACAAACACAGAAAAGCAATGTAACGGATAGGAAATGAGTGGTGGGTGGGTTGACAAATGCTGCTGGCAGTCTCAAAGCAGGAGAATACTTGATACAAATGAGGTAATAAAAAAGCGAGGTGACATCGCTTGGGCAAACCGTGCTGTGTCCATTACAGATGAGTTAGTTTGGGCGCTTCTTGAATTCTTCCCTGAGATGTGTGATGAGAAGTCAGGTCTGTGTATGTGGGGTGGGGGTCACAAGGTCCATGGTGGTGATTGCCTGGTATCTGAGCAGCGCAGCTGTAGTCCACACTGGCGGATGAAGGATGAGGAAGATGGCTAAGGTTGAACATCGGACCAGCAGCTGACATGGAATCAACAAAGTTCCCTCCAACATACACAGGGCTGCCCTGCAAATTAGGATTGGCAAAGCCACCATTACTCTGCATAGGGTGATGGTCATACTCTGAGCCAGGGTACCTCTTCTGCTGGGTTAAGCAGCTATTGAGAGGTGCTGTGTAAGCAGCCAAACCGTACACATTTTGCTGGGATTTGGTGAAAGATGTTGGCGAAGGAGCGTCGTAACTCAGATTGTTGACAGTGGGCAGTTGGCTTGAAAACCCAATGTTATTTGGCGCATTTAAAAGCGGACTTCTGTCTGGAGACTGTCCAATAGGAGAGTGCATGATCCCTTTGGCCTTCTGATCCTTTTTGTATTTCATTCTCCTGTTCTGGAACCAGATCTTTATCTGGCGTTCGGTCAGGTTTAACAAATTCGCCATTTCAACTCGACGAGGACGACACAGATAACGATTGAAATGAAATTCCTTTTCCAGTTCCACCAGCTGGGCACTAGTATAAGCTGTGCGGACTCTCTTGGAGGCTGGGCCTGGAGGACTCTTATCCTCACAACTCTCACCTATGGCAAGAAGACAATAAAATGTCAGGATAACTTTGAAAACAAAACATTAATGTATGAACAAGTTTACCACTGTAACAAAACTAGACTGAATCACGACAATTCTCAATGCGTGTTGCACTCACAAAAAAATGACAATTTAGTTCATCCAGGCTGTTACAAAGCTAAGGTTGAGTATAAAATAAATAATTATGGTGAGAGATAGACATGGCTATTTATTGTAAAGGTTGTTAGTTAACTCACAATTTTCTTTTTATTCTGACCTCTGACTCCTGCATGTTAAGTTTCTGGAGTATAACAAAACTGGTATTCCACAAGTGAAACACTTTTAATGAACTTGCCAAGACTATAATACTTTGTTTTTATATTCATAGCATCAACTTTTACTTTAAAAAAGCCAGATAATGTGATTTTTTTCATTTACTTGTAGTTTTAGTTATAATTGGGTGAAAAGTTTAATCTCTGAGGGAGTTTAGTAAATCTCTTGAATCTTATTTTATGACTTCTACACTAAAAGTAGCATGGACTTGGTGCAGAAAATGGCACGACTTTTTCGTTGAACTTTGAGAAGTTAAAGATTAATTCATCAGCATTCACTTCTTTTCAAAATAATAGTTGAGTAGGTAAGAGTAACGTGGAAAATAGGCTACATTTCATTGTAAAGTTCAACTGTTTAGTTATTCTCATTTAAATGACAATTGTATCGATTGATAATACCCACGAGTAACAATTGGAATATGAAGCATGGATCTCATTAAACGATACCCATGTTACGCACTGTACTGGACCATCTGTGCTCTAACTTCCACACCTAAGGGGTGCTGTGAACAAAGGCAACAGATAAGGATGAGATCAAATACCAATTGAATCAATTTATGTGCATAGCTAATTCAAGCAAGAGTTGACGTCCTCGCATTTTACGAACTTGTAGTTTGTTTACACAAACTCGGGGTTGATATTATCGAGTCATTTGTCCGTCATGACCAAATGCATTGATCAGGATCCCTCAATATAGCCTATAAGGATCAAAGGGAAGAATAATTCACATTTTAGAAAGTTTCGCCAGTCCTTTTTTCTCCTGACTAATCCTTCCTAAGTAGACCATTGAGCTACTCAACCATAAGTGATTTTACACGCATGTATTATTGTAACCTCTAAGGGTATGTTATTTTACAATTTATCATTGGAGTACACTGCAAGTATTCCCTGAACATATGTTATGATCCCTCCTCTCTCCCCAAGCAACGTAGAATATTACCAGCAGTAAAATAATGGGGGGAAAAAAGGATTCCCTGCTATACATGACTTCTTTTGGTGAAGTTCACTATAAACGGTTTAAGAAACTTTGTGTGATTAAAAGGTGACACACGAGTGAACTACTGACAAGATACCTGCAACTGTGCAGTTGTTTTTCTGCTTGGAGTTTTGACGACACTCTTTCATCCATGGGAAGATTTGTTTGGTGAGAGTAGCAGCCGGGCTGCCAGAGGAATTTGGGATGGACTTCGTTCTTTTCTGTGACGAGGTGTTACTTGCATTAGGTGAGGGTGGTAACGGCGGTGGCTGTTGTGACTCATTGATGCTTTGGGGCTGGGCAGGGGCCTGGCTGCCACTTGTTCGCATGCAGCTGCCATTTATTTCGGTGGGTTTATGGTTTGGGTCTCTGATACTGGGTGTTTGGATGGGACAAGCCGGGCTCTGATAATCATTTTCAACAGATGACGTTGGATACGTCTGGTGACTGGAGCTATAGCTGTAAGTGTTGGATTTTTGGTAAGAGTAACCACCAAATACTCCGGAATTATCGTAGTAAGTCGTCTTTTGCATCTCTCTATTTCGAAATGATAGGGTCTTGACACCCTGATCGAATAGCATTGACACCCTCGTTCAAGTGGCACACTTCCGCCAATCGGCAAACCGCAGCAATCCTAGGGGTTGCAAGGTAAAAGCAGACAATAATGGTGAACCATCAGGAACTCATAAGTCAGTATAACAAAAAAGAGCAACCTAGAACTGTAATCTGATGTTCATTCGGGGATTTTTTAAAAAATTCAACAAGAGTCTAAACATGAGCAAATCTATACAATTTCAATAAACACGATGGGGAAATTCATATTGTGTCACTGCTCAGAATTCCTTTAAAACTTTCAAGATGTTTTAATGTTAAGAGTATTGGGGGTCGAGTCTTTTTGCTACTTTTGCCACATTTTAAAGAATGGAGTTAGACCAAATTGTAAACACAATTCCCGAATCGACAGCATTTTGTTCAACTTGCCACATTAAATGTAAAGTTTATGGTTCAAATTATTGAAACTGTTACCGTTTAATGGATTTCGATGGCTGTTTATTTAATACTTAATGACTAATTCATAACCCATTCATTAAAATCCATCATAAACACGTCATGTACTATAAATGATTCTCCGCAAAATCACAGGAAAACATAAAAAAGCAGCAAAATCAACCCCATATAACATTTCAAACATCAGATGAAAAAGCAGACAGCTTTATTCTACAACTTTATTAAACAATAACCTCAAAATAAGTATGAATGAAGCTTCAATAGCATAAGTAGATTCTGTTCCATCCCAGATGGTTTTACTGATTGAAACCATTTTTGTACTGGTGAGAAACGAACAAACAAAACTCTTAAAAAGAGCTAAAATGCCATAGTCACGGGCGACATGTTTGCCTGCAGCATTTGCTGTGGGTTTGCCTGTTTTATTCTGTGATCTAGACACAGTGTTATATAGGACATGATGGATCGAGCTAGTTCCAAAACCTGAAAAACCAGCGAAGTGTTCCCTTGCCATTGTTGGTTTCTTTTTCTTCAACAGAAGGGAGGTTTGTGTGAAGCGAGTGTGTTTCTTTTATTACATCTTTCTGCTGACATTGAACAGGCAAGATGGTTAAAGTATAACTAGTGCATTTTCAAACCCCTTTTGTTACAAATAAAATGGGAAATAAGCTAGTCAGCATTTGAAATCCACTCACTGGTATTCAGTATATGTGCATACCAGACCCATCTTATGAATTGTATTTAAACATAACACACACATAAACACACTGAATGAGACTATCACAGTGCATATGTATGCTTAGTAAAAGATTATATATAGATTGCTCGTTATAGAATTTTAAGCTGTACTGTGTTGAAACAAAAACAGTAAATTAATTGTGCATAATGTTTATTAGTCATCAACATTTTTTAAAAAATCAATAAGCGTTCAACAATACAAAGATATCGGAATCGATATGAAACAATGCAAATTAGGGCAGTGATTATAATGGTTGCAGTCGATGTGTAATTACAATATTATTATGAATAAACTTTATTGACTGCANTTTTTTTCTAAGATGTCTCCCAATACAGCATTTCCCAATTCTCCCCAGGAAAGTTAAGATACACCCATAACATTGTGGAGAGATCTGACCTCCCAGCAAGTCGTTTTGAACTGCGCTTGGCAGCATGTGCAACCTTTTAATTGCAACGTGGTCCCTTGTTCTTCAAATTAGGCATTCTAATTTATCTGCTAAACAGCTGAATTGCTCTGATTAGAAAGAATGACAAAACATACCATTAAAACACAGGACTCGAAATGTGAAAAAGTGAAACTTCACAAGGAAGTGATTGACCAGAGTTCAATGTATTGTTGGCATTAGTTTTGTACCTATTCAGCGATTGAATGACCTCATCTAAGTAAAACGGAGCATAATATAAACCACTACGACCATTGGGTGTACAAGTTATCTCGCTATTATATCACGTCACAAATAGATTTTCTATTCATTTAGAACAAGCCTTCAGCCATACAGGATTTGACATTATAATGAAATATGAGGGTTATGATCTGAGGCCTCCAAAGTTGTAGTGAGGGACACGTGCAGATTTCAGCTGTTCCTTTAAGGGGGAAAAAATCTCATTCAGTGTTTTTTTTTGCTTTCCTGTCCTATATTCCTTGTTTGTCGCTTAATGTTTAGCTTTATGATGTTCTGTTAATTTGCCTTCACCTCGCAGATACTCTTCTCAGCCACTTTAATTCAATACTATATTAGTTCCCATTGTTTAACTCGACTATCTTTAATCTAATTACATTTCTGTTCACAATTCAGTGTCCAAACCTTAAGAGATAAGAAAATGACTCAGTATTATTTGTCCCGATGGGGTCGGCACCTTCACCGATATACCCAGCCTTCTGGCTTGTATTGCATTTGAAGGCACTATCTCTGGAACATCAAAACTTACGTTAATAAGGTATTGGCAAAAAGACTGTGGTGAAGCAGCAAATCTTGTTCAGAAACAGCAATTGCTTGTGAACTCTGCTTGAACCTAAATCGCAGCCACAGTCCATAAATCATTTGGACAATGGTCAACTGTTTCTGCGTGCATCTTTCGAATCTTTCTTACCTTACAAGTTTTCCAAATGCAAGAGTGCAACACCTTATACCCAGATTTGACAAGTAACACCTTGGTATGGACCGTCACCACTTTTTTTTTCTCTCTCTGCTCTCTGTTCCAAACAGATTGCTTGTGAGGGCGGTGCCCGTGACCGAAAAGTAAAAATGTCAAATTAATAAGTGCTTTTGGGTCATCAAAAATGGCAAACGTCACTGCAACATTGAAAGAAGCGGTGATGGTGGTGGAGGGGGTGTGGGTGGAGCTCACATGCACCAAAATGAACGGAAGCCAGTGAATTAAATGTCAATTTTCAATTCTCTCCGATATATAGCATCGCGCACTATAGGTGCAGGGGGTCGATGCTGTACGGCCTTATTATAAACACACTTTTTAAGAAAACCACGAAAAAATGCATTGGTCCTGATGGTTTTTATTGTTAACTTGAAGGGCTCCGCCATTGTGTCTCTTATCTACGTCCACACTGACCATTCCGTTATGTAAACACCAGAACACGTATGGATGATTTTTTTTGTTGTCTTGTAATTTGCAGACTGATATCAGTAGAGTAGGCCAAGAATTTAAAAGGCCACAGGAGTGGGCAGTGGGAAGTTATTAGGAAGCGAGAGCCCTCACAGTGCATATCAATGCACCTGTCATTGTGGGCTACGCAAAATTTATGACTGCGAGTCCTACGGTTGTAAACGCTTCAATACGGAATAGGGGGGGGGGGGCACTTTCCAAAGACTTGCTATCTTCAGAAGTGTAAAACAGCCAGAGCGTAGGAGGAAAGGCCGGAAAAAGAATCCCCTACTCTGCAAGTTTTCGTATATATATCAGGCGTTTCACCAGCTCGGTCAGAATTTCATATAAACCACAGAAAGTTGCCAAGGAATGCTCAGAGCCTTTCGGACCAGATGCTTTTCACATGTGCCAGAAGCGTGCGGCTCGGGCTGGAGGATCAGAAAGTTGTCTTTGGTAAACGCTGTAAAGCAAGCAGCTGGGAGTCACATTTGAAATTCAACGTTTGCTTTCAGGTATGAAATCAGAAAAAAGAAGAAAGGAAAATAGGGATGGGATGGGATGGGGTGGGGGGCTGGGGGTGGGGAGGGGAGGGGGGGGGAAACGGAAAGTGACTTCGTATTCAGCACGAGTTCAGTGAAACATGACGTGGTCGGTTCTTACAAAATGTGGCACCTTCTGCACGTTTTCGTGATTTGCTTCAATTTTACACATTCGGTCGTTTCCTCTTCAGAGTTTTTTTTGGGGGTATCAGCCCTTTCCTCCCTTCCCCCAGAATCGGATCGTTGTTGAGACTCCTGGTTTTAAATAAGTTGATGTTTAACGGAACAGTCCTGTTAATGTATCTGGCTGGAAATCATTTACACGTTTCAGAGATTCGTCTGATCATCCCTTTCAGAACAGCCAGCGTAGACTCTACCAAATCGGCTTGATGGCTGGTTGTATACTTTACCCTCCTGGAAATGTAAGCTATTTTCGAGTTAACAGTATTTACTTCGTGATGTAGATACCAAGGGTCCAGACACAGGCATTCGGGTTGCAGGAAGACAGCCTTTCCAAGATTCTGCTTTGAACTATGACTGTTTATTTTAGCATAATTACTTTATTGGATATAAGTTGGATAAAGCGAATGCATTTCACATTGTGGGGGTAGAACGGGTTCCACAGCTCCCTGCTTCGAAATCATGATTTTTTTTATTCTTTATGCGATCAGTGAGCAGATCTGATTGCTGTTTGCAGCACTGATTTGAACCATAAAACATATTTTAGGTGGCAGTGAATTTGCTCGTCTCCCAGCTATAGCGTGACGTGGAATCCCAAAGAAAAAACACACAGTGGAAAGCCCGTAAAACAAGAAGTGTATCTCATTGGTTCAAATTGGAACCCGAGCGAGAAATATTCAGCCACAACGCTGGTAAAACTGAACTAACCCTAACGTGAATGAACACAACTCATTGGAAGGAATCTCTTCCGAAGACTGAACCGCTGGGTTTACCGTTCTGGATTTGTTTTGGTGTTCAAAGATATGCACACGGTTTAAGATACAGTCTGTGCAACGATGGTTGCGATTGCGTTTGGCTGAAATGAATTTTATGTCGGCGTGCAATCAATGCTATTGGTACTTTTGGATACTTTTCTCTATGATCTGTAATCCAGACACGATGATATATTGCAAGGCAGGCTGCGGGCATTGCTGATTGCGGTTTAGAGTCGGATTGCCTTCAGCACAAAGCAGAATGGCGATTCGCATCCACAAGAGTACGAACGCAGTTACAAGAAATAAGAACCAAAGATATAAATCCGCGTGTGTTTAAAGCCTCCACATTAATTTCGTCTGTGTTTCCGGTCTCATGTTGTGGGACGATAAATCGTGTTTTTTTTTTCGCCCTGCAGATATTTCAATTTCTCCTTCAAACATAGGCGTGTCAGAAGGAGAACGTGTGCATTGAATATATAACGTTATGTGCGTGCAATTCTTTTCCACTCGGTGTGTAGGACTGAAACAAAACAAAACTTACCACCCTGGCTTTCTCTTTCAGACTTTCTTTGGGTTGAAATCGGAACCCGTCTGAATTCCGCAGACGCTGCTGACTTTCTTCTGAAAGAAGAAAAACGTAACAAAATGCTTTTTGATTGATATTAAACATCGGTAATATTTCTTAATACTTTGCATTTATTCAGGTCGTCTGCTGGCTTCTAGTAAACAAAGAAAAAGAGCTTGGCCACAGGCCCGGGTTGCATTTTTACAGAATAAATACATTTATTTTTTGTTATTTATGAGTTTCGTGGGTAACCGAAATCCCTCTGCGGTCGACTTTAATCAAATAGTTATCATATTCGATTAAAAATAAGAGAAATCCGTAAGTTGCTGTCATCACTTCATTTCCTTCAGAAATTAAAAAATACATTGTTCCTGAGTCGAGGCTTATCAGTATTTTTATTATTAGTGATACATGCGAGATATCCATACCCTTGGAAATTCAACTAAAGATCAGGTTACACAGATAACGTCCCTATTTTTATGTTTACATTTTTAAAGAAAAATGTACAATTCAGCTTTTCGAACTATTTTGGCAGAGAATGACTCGGGAGTCCTTGAATATACAATAACAAATCACTTGTTTCAAGAGATTCTAATAATTCGTATACGTATTGTGGAATTGCATATATATTAATAGTTCGAGGGTTTCACATCCATCCCCTTTTAGTAGCAGAAATGTGCCTCGAGGGTGCAGCGGCAGGTTTTATAACACACAACGATCATTATATTTTGGGGCCTACACGGTTTGGTAGGGGAGGGAAGCACCTCATTCTATTATGGTCTTTTAATGAAGCTGGATACGAATGAAGCAATACATAAGACTTGCTGCTTAATAACATAAAGCTTCTGGTGATTCAACGTTGGAACCTGCTCCAAGCCACGATTTGTAACAGCATTTGCCTCTCTATAACACGTATTTATTTGTTGTTGTTTCTTACACAACAATGTTTTATGTAACAGTATCACGGTTTTAAAACAAAGCAATATAACAATACAAATATGGAGGTTTCAAGAAAAAAAACTGGCGCCATATATAAAACTCATGAATAATGTATTCTATTGATAGGCGGTTATGCTTTGTCACAGGGATACCAAACATCACGTATCACTTTATATCGATTTGGAATGATCATAATCTCTGCAATAAACAGCTTGGTTATACAAAAAGTAACTAAAATGCAGTAATACGGCACAGTTAGACCTTGCACATATGTTGCCGGCTCCTAATGAATGCGCTAGAGGCAGATCGAGGGGTGAACAGAAGATGAACGTGCAGAGATTTCAGTGTATTTAGACCAATTGAAAGTGAGTGCTTAAATCTGAAAATACATTTTGTAAACCAGCAAGGGTGGCAGAGCAAACATACAAAGAAATCGCGGTCATTAGCTGACAATATATAAGAGTCATAAGCCTTTGAAATGACCTTTGGCTTGTACAGCAATAACTCACCACTTAATGAACAACCAACGGAAGCTCCTCCAATACCTCACAATACAGCTCATCACACAACTTCACCATGGCTGTTCTATCGCTCTCTAATCCAACTAAGGCGCAGCACTTTACAAACTAGTCACCCCAACTTGCGTCGATATAATTTGAAGTTGGAAGAGGATCCCAATCACAGTCGGAGCGGCATAGGTCCTCGGCCCAATGCCTCCCACCATAATGTCGTCTGTAATGTATTCACGTCGCCATACGTCAATTTTAAGCNTTTTTTTATTTCTGTCTGAAATCGCTTGATGTAGAGCATTTGCATGTAAATTATTTTAATTTCCAAGAAAAGCGGGTAAAAGTCGACACGCGTTGAACACTTGGTTGCTTCTAGCTGTTCTTGATAACAACTTAGCTGTTATCATCCATAATCTTGACGGTAAGTTTTTAAACATCTTATTTATTAACTTAGTAGGGGAGTTTAAAGGAATGGGCTCATATTACCAGCCTAAAAGCGTACAGACTAACCGTTTTAAATAGTGGTGAGCTGATTAAATAGCTGAAAGTTCCACCAAACTTTCCTTGGAACCTCTCTAAATTGCTAACCAGAGTTGGCAGGGAAAAGCTTGCAAATGATCCCGGTTATGCATTACATTTAATGTCTGTCAGAACACCAGCCCGTCCATAAATCCAGCTCAGTTACTGTACGCGCTGCCTGAAAAGTTTTTTTGCCCCTCGTTCCGGCATGGAAAGTTGTGCAAGCCACGTTACCAGGCGAATGTTGGCAGTTACCCTGGCGTGAGCTGAGGAAAGGTTTATTGAAATTTTAGGTGAAGTTATAAGTGAGTGGCCCCATCGAGCAAAATGAAATGCTACTCACAGTAATTGGATTCAGCTGACTAACATGGCAGGCCAGCAGCTCCGAGGCATAGAGCAATGAAAAATGTGAGATGCCTCCAAGTTTTGACCGAACAGAGCGCGCACACACACACAGTGAAAAACAACTTTTGCGCACTGGACAGTCTTGGGAAATGCCCCCAATCCTTTCCATATTTACGAAATAAGCTTCCAGTCCAGGCAGAAACCCGGGTTCTTGTTCTCGCCACTGCTGCACAGCAGACTGTTACGAATTAGTTGTCGCAAAATGATTATTTTCTTTTTTCAAAAAAACTAAAAGCTCATTATGTGACATTAAATCAAAGTTTGATCAAAATCTTACAATGCCTTATTAACAGGATGTTATTCTTAAACGTGCGGATTCAGACATTCAAATGGAAAGGAAAATAACTAATCTAGATACCAGTTAATAGCAAAAGCCCCTGAAAGAGAAGGAGTGAATGGGAGTGAAAGCAAATGTAACTCGGCTTTGGAACTGGAAGGCAAAGAAGTTAAAATTTAACGCCTAAATTCCACTGAACTGGTCGCCTAGACATTTGGAGCGGATACTGAAATAGTCTGAATTCACGTGTATTCTGTGGGGCTCTTCATAAATTCGTTTATATTAGGCACATAGCCACAAAAATCGAATTATTCGTGTTGCAGAAAAATGTTTCTGACAAGAAATTTTAAGATTTTAAATAATATCCCACGCTTCCTATATTAAACAAGTATGGATACACTTCTACCCGAGTTCCTAGAAATTCACAACTTGTTTTCGTTGAACGACAATAACATTAATTGAGAAATAATTTATACAGCCTGCTGCAATAACTTTAGCCCGCAATATATTTCAGAAGCGCATAAATCAAAGAAGACTGCAGTCTGACGATAAGCTAGAGACAACAAATTAATGTGATTTACGATCTAAGTTTGCCAGTGACAGTTTGAAAAGTTCCCTGGGTTTCTATCCCTTTTTATTTCGTTTTCCCTTTACATAAAACCGCAGAATCAGCTAAAACTCAGCCACAAGACAAATCTAGGACTGCTCTGGTTTGCCCGATCTAACCTTTTCCAAATTGCGCACTTTCGTGAAACAGCGAAGGGTTCTTTTATAAATCGCCAATCTTTGGTACAACATCATTCCCCCACCCCCCCTTCTCCGGAAATGCTGTTGAAATTGAAACAATGCACCAGTTTGTACCTGATTTTCATACAATTTGGAATGAATAATCCGTCTCCTGGCTGAAGGCATTATGCAAACCTCTTCCTAAAGGTTGCATTTTATCATGCTATTGCTTACCTGTGTATCAATTTATCATAAATCTGTGGTTCTCACACTCAATCTCTTAGCCTGCAGCTGCGAATAATATCCACCGCCGTTTGTCTGCAGACAATGCTGTCTTAGACCTGCTCTTGCGGTTTTACAGACATTTCGATACCAAATGCAGACGGTATTCCCGATAGAAATGGCTTCAGTCTGTGGGACAGCTACCAATAAAAAACGCCGTACACAGAGAGGGTGCTTTAGGTTTAAATTCAAATCAAGACTTTGCAATCAAGTGTCCGGGGAGGAGGAGGAGGGGGGGGGGGGGGGTGTGGGGGTGGTGGTGGGGGGGAAGTATTTATAAAACGGTAGGTATTCGTTTAAAAAAGTTGCAATTTATGAATTGTGTACTGCAACGGAAACCTTTTATAATCAGAAAATATAGGCACTGCCTTAAGATACAGGCATATTTGTTCACGTGATCTGTGTTCCCAGATTGCTCTGATTGAGCCAGTAAGTTGAGCCCAGCGCTACCTCACTCACATCTCTTTAATACGGATTGTTTTGGGGGCTTCCACTCACTTCGTACGTTAACGCCAAACGGAGAGCTTGGAGTGAAAATTAAATATTCTGTGCTGTCACTGACAAAAGCATTGCACACGTTAAAGCATTCTTTCCTCTTGCTGGGGAAAAAAATCACGTTTACCTAGTCAGACAATAGGGGCATATTTTCATTGCATTTTCGTGGTATCTTTGGTTGTATATATATATATATATCGTATATCCTCCCATTTTGCTGTTTGTGTTATATTCCCCCCCCCCCCCCCCCCCCCCCCCCACATCGTGTCCAAAATTGAACAAAATCTATTGTATCTTGCTTTTTAATTCGGAACAATCGGGGCAATATATTTGTAGGGAAATATACTATTTTAAGGCCATTTTGTTTTCGAAAGCAAGATATATCAATTGGTCTCACAGTCGCACACAAAGGTTTAGAATAACGGGATGGATATACTGTTCGAAATGCTATAAATACGACTAGGTTAAATATTGTGGATGTAAAACGTTGAAGCCCGTGCCTGAAAAGGGCTTTCGATATATCATTGATCCAGATTTGAACAATTAATTGCGGTTAGACAGTTAGAAATATAGAATTCGGTAACATATAAGATTTATGTGAAATCCCATGTCCTCGTCTGCAGAGCGTAGATAACTGTTGTACTTCACTGTGATTTTTTTATGTGGCTAAATTGATGTCTTTGTACCAGAAACTAACATGAGGTTTCCCTTTTTTTCAGGATAAGCAATTTATTTCAAGGAGGCAATACCAACTGTTAGTTCTATGGGTGTATCACAATGCCGAGCGTTTGAATTCTGTCTCCGGGAATCTTTCTGTCTCCTTATTTGATTCCCCTTTACAACATTTTAAAATTGTGTATTGTAACTGTTTTAAGTTACGGAAAATTAATTTTTAGTTGCATTC